TATGTACGAAAAAAATGTTGCTATGGCAACTGCATATCATTTATTATATTTTCCTCATCAGACTGTTGAAGGTGATTACACAAAGAAGAAAATGCCTCTTCAATTTAAGTTAATAATTTGATGGAGATATGTATTTCTATTTTCTCCTTGAGTATTTATTGAAGTGCTATTTTTCTTTTGAGAACTCATCTTCTTTTGTTATTTATAAAGATTTAAAGGAGATGTGAGGATTCCACAGACCTGAGACCTTTGTGGTTAACTTTCCCATTTTTTCCCCAGTCTGGAAGAAAAGAAAGGTATAAATAAAGAAAGGCATGTGAGAGAGCAATAAAAGTGCAGTTTATTTTCATGGCCTCTAGGGGCTCGTAAGTTTAATGTTCCGTAACTTAGGTGATCATGTTATTTGTATTTTTTTCTTTTTGACCACTGACACACACTTGTGCAATGGCATATAGGATGCGTGTTGAATTTGATGGGGTTGCAAAATGCTGAACGTGACGCAGTTTCATCTAAATGTTCCAACTGTACATTGTAGTTGCTACATGGATCTACTAGGCACTCAAGTGTTGACTTAGTAAATGGAAACATGAACTTATCACCTTCTCCCTGTTAATATTATAGTTACTGTATCCTAATAGCTTTATTACATAATGCTATGGTTGATTAGATAGAAAAGCATATCAACTTTGATAAACCCATAATTCTAATTTACTCTGGATGTTTTTTTATTTCAAAAGCACTAGTATAAGCTAATATAGAGATTGCTGGAAATTGTCTAATATCTATATCCTGGAATAAAATGTTCAACTGTATATTGTCCAGTTATTTCAACTAATATTTGAACAAATTCTTCTTTCCAGATAACTGTTTCACTCAGGTTCTTAAATAGAATTAGTTTTTCATATATAAAATGTATTTAAAATTAATATTACTTTGAACATGTGAACACATATTCTTTACATACTTGATCTATTTTTATACTAATGGCAGGAGCCAGAAAAACTATCTATCCCTGTAGGTTTTCATATTTTGAAGCAAAATTAAATTGTTTAAATATTTTTAGGGTTACAAATTGTTGTAAAACTACTGAAGGGATAAAAGGATCTTAGCTTTTGAGGCTACAGAGATCTTTCCAATAATATGTAAATACTAAATAATCTTGGGTGAGCATGATTTTCTCCTCGAAGCAAAACTGTTTTTCTCCTTATGCTGTATGCAGTGACTTTTCATGGGAGTTGCTAAAACTTGTTCCATTTACACTGAGCCACTGAAGTCATCTTTGTCTCGGGCCAGTGGCTAATAAAATTACAGGGTTAAGCAGTATTGAAGAAAATAACTCTGAAAATACAACTTTTAAATAGGGCTTTACCACTGCCTCTAGCCTCATGCCTCCCTGGAGATCATCAAAACTCGTCTTGTGATGCAGTTTATACAGAAGTTGAAATATAATGATGTACACCTGAAATTAATGTAATGTTACAAACCAGTGTGACCTCAATAAAAAAAAATGAAATGAAGAAAGCTCCTCTTGTATTTCTCCAGCTTTCCTTTTTTATCTTGTCTTACCCTAAAGGGCTTCCTAACTCCTTAGTCTGAAATATATATGTCCAACCTAAAGGTCCAATTGTTGATTCCTGCTTACTCCACATCATTACAACCTTCAAACACTGGCCACCATTTCTTGGCTAACAAAATGGACTCCACACAAGACTCTGAATGTCATGACTGGAGTTATTTCATAAGCCTCACATTCCCCTTTTTCCCTGAGCCTCTTGAATTTGTAGAGCAATGTATTTTCACTCTAACTACAAAGAACCCATGGGAGACTAGTAAATAATTGCTTGTGAGTTTACGTGCATTCGTGGATTCAGGAAGTACTTACAATATATTACTTTTCAACTGGTAGTGAGGAGGAACAAAAGGGAGCTGTAAAAGTTATTGCTCTTCTCTACCTGCTTTTCATCCTATCTTCACATCTTGTCTTAAAAAAAATCAATATATATAAGTTGATAATATATAAGTTGAAAAAATCTATTGATAGAGAGAAATAGAGATAGAGAGACGGATAACTGAATGAGCACATAGACTGGAATGTATTGACATAAACCAAAGTTCAGAAATGGGTTAGTTCTATTTTTTCCACTTGATCAGCCCTCATCTTTGTACAAGATGACAGCATGTACTTTTCTTGAAAAAGCGGTGACATTTATTATTTAGTTAATGATCCCAAACGAATAACAATAATAGAATATTGTTAAATTACTCAGCATGGGGATACAAACGTGGTAACAATATTAATAATGTGCTTGTTTTTAAAAGAGGGAGAAAAACAAGCTATTGAGAGGATTAAATCAAAGTGGTTCAGTGAGCTCTGATGCCAATCAAACCTATATTCCTGCCTAACTTGTAATACTTTTCAACTGTATGATTTTAGGCATGTTATTGATCTTCCAGGAGCATCAGTTTTCTAATTTTTAATATTGAGATAATAACAATAACATTGTCATAAGACTTTTGTGAGCAGTAAATGGGTAAAGACACATTTGATGCTAAAAATGACAGGCATCAATGTTAAAAATTGCCAATGTCAGCATATCTTAATCATGTCATCATCACCATCATCATCATCATCATAATCTTATCATTGTGATTCTCATTGGTACCATGATTGTAGCTTTGACCAGATAAATTATCTTTATAAATCTTTTTTTGTTTTTTATAAATCTTTATTTTTTATTTATTTTTTTTTTTGTGAGGAAGATCAGCCCTGAGCTAACACCCATGCCAATCCTCCTCTGTTTGCTGAGGAAGACCGGCTCTGAGCTAACATCTATTGCCAATCCTCCTCCTTTTTCTCCCCAAAGCCCCAATAGATAGTTGTATGTCATAGCTGCACATCCTTGTAGATGCTGTATGTGGGACACCACCTCAGCACGGCCGGAGAAGCGGTGCGTCGGTGCGGGCCCGGGATCTGAACCCAGGCCGCCAGTAGCAGATTGCCGGCACTCTTAACTGCTAAGCCACAGGGCCAGCCCCCAAATCATCTTTAAATATTGGCATAGGGCAGTGGTTAAGAGTGAGGACTCAGGAGTTAGATTGTCTGCTTTTAAATCACTCCTTGCCACAAAAAAGTTGTATGATCATACATACTTCTCTTAATCTCCCAAAGCTCAGCTTTTTCATTTGTGAAATCCAGCTAACCATATACCCATTTTATAGAATTATAATGAAGATTAACTGATATAAATTCTGTGTTTTCAGGCAGACATGAGAAAACTATAAGTGTTAGTTTTCATTACCACTATTATAACTGTTACATTATTGCATAGGATATTATTTTGAGTTTTTCCCCTTTCTACATCCCCTTATCTCAATTGTTACATTCCACAGATAAGGCAGTGCTTAGGGTATTCTCTGCTAATTTGCCTGAGACAAAATACCTAAGAAGTAAAGGGAGTTATTCATTAAATTTGGAATGCTTATTGTCTTTTTAAAATCAACTTTATTGAGATATAATCTATACAATATAATATCCTCTTTTAAGTATGTAGTCCAATGAGTTTTGACAAATGTATACACCCTTGCAACCATCACTGTAGGTTTTTGAGTTTTCAATTTGACTTTTGAAACTAAGGCATGACAATAGTTTTTAGTGGAAAAAGTAACTTGAAATGCAAGAATTTGAACTACTGGGATTCACCTCCCTAAACCCTACAGGATTCAGAACATTATATTTTCCCTTAACAACAAATTTCAAAGACTATCTGACTCACGTTAGATAAAAATTCCATAGGCTAAATGTACAGACAGGAAGAATCAGAGAGAATAGATCCTGTGCCCTGCCTTCCAACTGAGGTGCAGTGAGAGGTTGAGAGGGATGGCAGAAACTCCAAATAGGTTTGGAGGCTAAAAGAGCAGGGGACAACTTGGGAGAAGCCAGGAAGGTAGCCAGATTTATAGAGCACTTGCACGCACAGCATGGTTTAGGAGCAGGAAAAGAGAGGTGGCTGAGTTAGAGATACAGGCACTGGGCCTGTGACATACTTAGCATGCCCTGAACTCCAGTGGAGTGTGAAAACAGCGATGTGTTACCTGAATAGAGAGGGCCAGAGCTGAGAGACCTGTGATCAAGGACGTAGCCATAGATCAATGATTAAAGAACAGATAGAGCTTAGGTTGTCCCAATTATTTATGTGGATGGACAAAATATTTATCAAAGAAACAATGCTTATCTCATATATTTCAGCATGGGGCAGTGGCAATGACGGAGGACCAGATAGCTCCCCTCCTACCCAATGCCTTAGCAATCAAATAGCCCCTAAGAGGCTTTCAACTAAAATCCACGGTAGGGCGAGGAAAAACTCTCAAATCATTGAGTCCCTGAATTGACCGAACCTAAATTTTAAATCCTGCTAGAATTGAGGCATAAAATAGAAATTAAGTTTTATTAGATGAGAAAATAATTTTATTGGTACACCTAGTTTGTAGGACAAGATTTATACCTGTATAGTATTTATTAATGGAAACGAGTTTTGGGGAAAGGATGTGGTAGGGACAAGGACGGGGTAGATTTCTCTTATCTCTGGGAAACTTTCTTATATCCTAAAGTCTTGGAAGAAAGGTGAACTCCAAAAAAAATCAAAAGGATGCTTTGCTTTGTTGATTACATGATATTTTTGTACCCTTCATCCAGTTGTCGATATGTTGATAACATGCCTAAAATTACATTCCTTTTGTTTGGCTCTGCTGATTGCATTTCATGCTCTCGTCATACGACAAGCTTTAATTTGCCGACCACTATTAACCCTGGGTTTCTTTCCCTGCTCCTTTTCCTTTTTCTTTTTCTTTTTTTCCAAGTTCATATATTTTTCTATCCATTAAACAAAAATTGTCGATGAAAGAATTTTAAACAAAGATACAGAATCACTCTTCCAGAATGTCTCCTTTGAATATCAGTGTTTTGGAAATAAGCACATAGACTTAAATGTGAATTACAACAGAAAAGAACACTTAGACAGTAAAGTTTCAAGGAGGATGCATAGTTAAAGGAAAAGAATACAAATAAACAATAATAAAAATCCTTATTTACTCATGTGAATAAGGTAGACGATATCTTCTGAGCACTCTTCTATTTAGTAAATAATTTAATAATAGTATCTTTATTACATGTCAAAAATATTAATTTGCTATTGTGGCTGTAGAGTCCAGAATATGTCATCCCAAAATATCCACTTTGGCCTATTGATTATGTTGAAATTAAGGTACTTGAGAAACAGCTGGTACCAGAAGGACACTTTGACCCTTCTTTGTCCCCTGAAAGCAGGAGATAAATCTCCCAAGTGAAGTGTACCCTCTCTGTACCAGGAGGGTAGAAGGCATCCTGATCACCAGAGACAGGGAATTTAGGGCCAAGCAGGCTGTATAAACAAATCTTGTTACTTCTGCACCATTTTACCATGCCTAGCCAAAACCCCTTTGTCTTGTCAATTCTTCACAAATTTATTGTTTCTTTGTCTAAAGCTTTGTATAAAAGCTGCCTGTTCTGGTCACTTTTTGGAGTGTCATATCATTGTGGGGCTCCTGTATGTACGTATGTAATTAAATTTGTTTTTCTTCCGTTAATCTGTCTTTTTATTACAAGGGATTCTCAGCCAAGAACATAGAAGGAGCGAGGCAAAATTTTTTTCTCCATTACATGGCTTATGAGTTGTAGTCCATGTGGGAGACACAAAGAAGAGCAAGAAAAGTCCTTGAGGAACTTATAAGTCTGTTGGGATCAATTTGATTGGTGAATGCCACCTCTATATGGCATTATTGAGAGGTGATATTCAAAAATGCTTACCACTGTTCCAGCAGGGACACCAATCATTCAGAAAATAAGACCCTGCCTCTGCCAATAATTCGGTTGCTGAATTTTGGGTAGACCTGGTGAGTCCCAGGGGATGGACTGGGGCAGATGGATGGGAAACACTCAGGAGCTTGGACTTTGGTTATTTACCAAGCTGATCAGAAGTACTTTAATATTTTAACAGTGTATGTGGATGTGGCAAGGCCTACTGGTTGCATTTCAACCTAAGTAATAGATAGCTAAACATTAAACACATGAGTACTTAAAGTTAGGTATCTCATGATCAAAAATTATTTAGATATTTAATTTTTCAAGGGGTTTTGAATAAAAATAAACAATTATAAATATATATTGTGCTGTGAAAGTGCTCTTGGAAAGTTGAAGAAATATCCTTTTTATTGTAAACTTGTAATAATGATAAAGTGAAATGATGAAAGTGATTCATTTTTAATATTATAATTGAGTTTATAATATGTTAACCTAAAAATAAAGAGCTGAAATGAGAGATAGAAAGGTGTTTATTCTGGGATCAAAGAATTTCAATTTGAGGTACACAGAATCAGGTAGCAATCCAGTGTCCCAGCTAGAAGTAAGACGCAGGGGCTTTTAAAGGCAAAAGAGGGAAGTTTGTATCACAAAGAATGTTTATTGGGGCTGGCAGCAGAAAGCTAATCTTGGCTAAATGTAATTGATCACTAAGGCTGGCTAGAGGGAAGCAAAAATCTGCATTGTGAAGAGCTGTGTGTTTCTTGCAGCTTTCTCAGAATATTTGCGTCTTGACTCAGTTCAAAAGTTCACACTCTGTCTGATGAAGATGTGCAGAAGACCCATTTCCTTAATGGTTTCCCGGCTCCATTTTAAAGCCCTTAGACATAAGTGACCCCGTCTTGTTTCACATTTCACAATTACCTGATATTACTATTCAAGATAACAGGTGCTTAGCCAATTGTCACTTACAGGATCACTCAATAGAGCTATCTTTATATCCATAATCGTGCTCAAAGTTATTATTAGTATTAGGTCTTCAAAACAACCACCCAAGAATTAATTGGCAGAGACTAATCCATTCTATGTAATGAGAATATATCCAATTTCTTTAAAAAAAATACACGCAAACATATAAAATACTTTAAAGTGTAGGAGGTGCGATATTGTGATTTATAATAAGAAATATATATTTGGTCTACTTCCTCCATTCTGGCACAGAGCTCCTAAAGCCCTTGGAATTTCCTGTCATGAAAGCGAGAAAGGTGGTTTTTTTTTTAATTAATTTATTTTTGCTGAGGAAGACTCACCCTGAGCTAAATCTGTTGCCAAGCTTCCTCTATTTTGTGCGTGAGCTGCCGCCACAGCATGGCCACTGGTGAGTGGTGCAGATCCACATCTGGGAACTGAACCCTGGCTGCTGACGTGGAGCATGCTGAACTTAACCTCTAGGCCCAGGGCTGGCCCAAGGTTTTTTTGTTATACTAATGAGGTGATTTTTGGACTTCACCTAAGGATGGGGTCTTGTTGCCAGGGGAAACAACCATGTAATTGGAAGGTTGGAACTTTCAGTCTCACTCCCCACACCCCCACCTCGGGGGAGGGGAGAGGAGCTGGAGGTTGAATCAATTACCAATGGCCAATGATTTAATCAATCATGCCTGTGTGATAAAGCCTCCATAAAACCCAAAAAGAGGAGGTTCTGAGAGCTTCCTGGTTGGTGAACACATGCAGATGGGGGGAGAATAGCGCACCTGGAGACGGCATGGAAGCTCTGTACCCTTTCTCACATACCTTGTCTTCCATCTGGCTGTTCCTGAGTTATATCCTTTTATAATAAATCAGTAATCTAGTAAATAATATGTTTCTCTGAGTTCTGTGAGCCACTCTAGCAAATCAATCAAACCTGAAGGAGGGGGTTGTGGTGTTGACTCCAATCTATAGTCAGTTGGTCAGAAGCACAGGTAACAAACTAGACTTGTGACTGACAAGATATCTACCTCTAGATAGATAGTGTTAGAATTGAGTTGAATTGTAGGTGTCCCAGAATTGCTTGGTGGCATGGGAAAACCCCCACGAAACACACTGGAATTAATTGTTGATCAGAACAGTTAGGAGGTGTTTCATATAATAAGCTTTGGAGTATGACAGATGCAGAATTTAAACCTGATTTTGACACAGAAAAAATGTGAATTCTTTCTTTTAAGTCGCTTAACCCCAATAAGCTCCAGATTCATCCTGGATAAAATGGTGATAATGTTATTGGACAAAATTGGTGTTCTCTTGCCCGATGTGTATAAGAAAAGTGACTAATTATGGCATCAGCTTTTGGGGGAGAAATCAGCTTTATTATGTGAGATAGATCTGCAGAGAGACAGAGAGAACATGCCCTCAGATCTGTCTCTCTGATTCAGGATTTGGGGCAAATTTTAAGAGGTTAAGGAAAACAGGCTGGCACGCAGAAGTACTGGTGAGATAGGTTTTGATTGATGGGTTTCGAGCATTTATGGTAAGGTTCTAAACATTTATGACAGGGTTCTAAACTTTTATGATGAGGTTATAAACTTTTATGATAGGGTTCTAAACATTTATGATATGGTGGGGAAGGAATTTTAACACTGGATCTTCCTGAATGAGGGACCCTTCTCTTCTGATAAGAGTCCGACTTTTAAGTTCCAGTGATGTCCTGGTCCTTTGATTCCATGGGGAGGAGAATCTTTGATTCCATAGTCATTTCAGGTCAAGATATCTTCTTCTGTGCTTGCTCTGGCTATATGACTTTGCAAATTTTCTGAAAGACAATTCTTTTTTTGTTTTTTTTGTGAGGAAGATCAGCTCTGAGCTAACATCCATGCCAATCCTCTTCTTTTTGCTGAGGAAAACTGGCCCTGAGCTAACACCCATGCCCATCTTCCTCAACTTTATGTGGGACACCACCACAGCATGGCCTGACAAGCGGTGCATCGGTGTGCTCCAGGGATCCAAAACCCAGGCGCCAGCAGCAGAACGTGCGCATTTAACCCCTATGCCGTGGGGCCGGCCCCTGAAAGACAATTATTAATCACTCTGTTGATAAGAGATGGAGTGTGTTTGAACTAGCTCTAAATGGGCCTGTGGTTACAATCATTACACCTACCTTACAGAGGGTAGTGGGTTGAATGGTGGTCTCCCAAAAGATATGGCTACCGTCTAATCTCCAGAACCTGTGAATGTTACCTTATCTGGAAAAAGAGTCTTTCCAAATATAATTAAAGTAAGGATCTTGAGATAAGATCATCCTAGATTATCCGAGTGGGCCCTAAATCCAATGACAAGTGTCCTTAAAAGAGTGTAGCAAAGGGAGATTTGATCAGAGGATGGAGCGATACAATTACAGGAGCAGAGATTGGAGTGTTGGGGCCATGATGAGTCAAGGAATGCCAACAACTACCAGAGCTGGGAGACGCGAAGAATGTATTCTCACCTACAGCCTCCAGAGGGAGTAAGATCTTCTTGAAAACTTAGTTTTAGACTTAGAGCCTCCAGAGCTCTGAGAGAATAAATTTATGTTGTTTTAAGCCGCTTAGACTGTGGTACTTTATTGTAGTAGCCCTAGGAAATTAATACATAAGGTCATTATGAGGATTGAATGAAACAATGTAGAGGTTTAGGTAAAATAAGTCTCAGTAGTGATATACACACACACATATATATATATACATAAGTGTTTCCAGTACCTTCTCACTAGTAATATTTATATTACTATGACTAAAAGGTTTATTTCTGTGTTTATCTCATCTAGTTTATTTTTATCTATTAGCCTGGTACTGCTTGCTTTGTAGTTATTTCTGTTTAGTTCTTGACTGTAACGGTATCTACTGCAAACTAAGGCTTTTAAACCAAGTAGCCATTTGGTATAGTGGAGTGGATATGAGATTTTGATTCTGAATCAGTCTGAATTTCAGTCTCATTCCAATATTTCCTGTACTATCCATGTGATTTGGGGCAAGTATATTCTGTTCCAAACTCATTTTTCTCGTCTAAGAAATGGGGTAATAACCTCCATCTTACAGGGTTGCTATGAGGATTGATGATGACAGTCAAGTGCTTGTGACATGATAAATACTCAATAAATTAAGATGCTATTGTCCTCATCATCTATGTGTACATTTTCCTGGGATTTTCTTTTAATTAAAGG